CACTGAGGCAGAGCAGTAGCTCAGGATGCAAACATGCAGGCAGTAAGTAAAGCTACTGGTGCAGAGTACCTGGAATAGCCTATTCTCAACTGCTTTTACTAATCCAAGGAAACAGAGTATATTTTAAAGATAGAAAGTCAGTGATTATGAAAAGCCACGGGAAAAAAACAACCCGTAACTCTCATAAAGATTACAGGAGGGTCACTTAGAGTCTGATGAACTTCAACGAAGAGCCAGAGGGATTTGTTTTGTTGGACTCAAGTGCGGCAAGGCTGAAGCTTTGTGCCTTTGAGAAAAAATGGTAAAAGACATGCAAAAGATTTTACTTTGGTAATCCAGGAAATACTGATCCTGTAAAACAGTGGCCAATCTAAGTGGCTAAAATCTAAGGCTATAGATTTCCTTAGTACTCTGAACAGCTCTTTTCACTTCCCTGAAGCAGCGTCCTAGAAGATACCATAGCTTGCCAGTGAAGATATGTATTCGATCTGGTTTTACAAAAACATAGTATATCTAACATCTGATTACATGTGAAGAGTGTCAGCAGACAGGGGAGTCAAGTCGAACCGTTGACACTCAAGTCATAATTTACATGTGTAATCTCTAGTCCCTGTTACCTCCCCTTTACAACGGGCAGGTGAAAAATGCTGTTGAACCATCTGAGCACCTCTTGGGAAAGCATGCACAGCCAGATGTTGATCTGTATTTATCACCATTAAGTAACAGATTGGTATCAGTGAGATGGCAGTTGTCACTGGCTGAGAACAAAATGACTGTAAGAATGGAAACCCATATCAAAAGCACTGGGGACTTGCAGAAGTACAGAGAACCAGATAAAACCAAGCCATAAAAACACAGCACGATTTAGAGTCTGCAAACAACTTTTCAGCTGAGGGAAGAGCAAGGGTGAATCAGCCATCACAAAGAACTTGATGCCCAAAGGTCTGTGCCATGGTCTTCTGCTTACCTAGGTACATAGTGGAGAGGACGTGGAAGAGGAGAACATCTTTCAGTGCTCCAGATAGGAGGATGGCAGTGCACCTGCTGTTTTGCCCTAAATAGAGAACAGTCACATTCTGAAGGTAGAGGGGCCTCCATGACACAGTGTGTCAGGAATGGACCACCCATCCCTGACTGTAGTAGGGCTGGCCTCCAGGAAAGTCCATGGGTAAGGCAGGTGCAAGACTCAGTAAACACTCTCTGCAAACTGAGTTGCTCATGAGCCATGTTGTAAATGCAGGTAGTTTGTGTCCAGTGAGGCTGTATCGGAAACTACATTTTTCTTCCAAAGCTTTTGCTTGACAGGGTAAATTTAGGCTAGAGAAGCCCTTGGTATGGCCATGTTAGAAAACAGACCCTGAAGGAAGCAGTTCCACAACCACTCTAAAACAGAGTGCAGAACATCATGGCCTGAGGTGAATTGTCCCACTTCAATTATGATCTGAGCTTTGAATTCAGGGCAGGCTTTTCAAATAAGTGTGGCAGTCAGTGAGAAACCACAGCAGCAGGGGGAGAGGAGGGCAACAGGAAGGGGTGCGGGCTTTGGAGAAGAGAAGCAGCAAAGCAAGAACTAAAAAAAAGGGGCAGATGGTGTGAAGCTGTGTGAATGGGGAAGTGGGATAATGCAAAAGGGGAATACAGCAAGCAGGGACAGTTTGCAGCCCAACCAGGCTGAAGTGAATGACTCTCTTCCCTGCTGGAGGCTCAGCACACACAGAAAAGGTCTCATGGCCCCTCAGGATTGCCTGAGCGATAGCTCACATAAAATAAATCCTATCATCAGGGCCCAGGGTAATGAGAATACCTGCTGTGGCCATGCCCTGCATGCACAAAGAAATGAGTCTTGTGTTCCCCCTAGGAAAAGGTTCCCCTCGCTACTGTCTGTGCTGAAGGACAAGCTTCCTGCTCAGCTCCCGCTTTACTGTGAAGTGCAACCATCATTTCTGAAAGAGCCTTCTTGCCCTTTTGCCATCCTCACTGAGGAAGCAGAACCCCACAGAAAGAGAGGGTGAGATGGAGCAGTCCTTGCTGCTTTGAAACCTCTGTGCAGGAATGGTATCATGCATTTCCTCCCTTGCCCACCAACCCACATGAGTGCCATGCAAATCCAGACCACTCAGATCCGGTGCCCAGGGCACTGGAAGTCTCTCAGAGCAAAGCTGTCTCACTGAGCAATTCTTTCCCATTAGCATCTTCTTCAAACTCTGTAAAGGGAACAAGAAACCCCAGAGGAGTGACTGCCTGCCCTCAGCCCTGCTGCACATGCAGAAGGAAACTTATGTCAAGAGCACCTCTTGGTGGTGTGAGAGGACATCAAAGCAGAAATGGACCTGTATGTGCTGAGTTTGGGGTTATGGGCCTATTTCCTGCAATTGCTTTCTCTTTCATGCAGCCTGTTCTCAGAGTTATTACAATGTGTGTCATCTGAATATAATATCCCAATTTTAATAATTTGAAAGTGATGGAAAGAAACGCCCTAAAAGCCTTTATGTACATCCCTATCATCCCTCTTACAGAGGCACTGGTCAAGGAGGGATGTTTATAGATTCACCCCAGAAGTGGGGTTGGAGATACACCTTCTTTCCAGGACTTATGTAGGTCTTTTTTGGCTATATAGAACTGCAGTGCCTTTGACACAGGGCTCATCCAGACATGGGGTCTCAGCAACAGTCAACACCACTTTTAGCTTTTTTTCTTCTTCCCCAGTTCCTCCCACTCTGCCAGTAACACAAGCCCATATGCCAGACTACAAGGACAAAAGTGCACACTGGATCCAGTAGGTCAGTGGTCCTTGTTCGTCCCTGCCAACCAGGTCCTACTGTGCTACTGGCTAGTTTTCCACGCAGTCTCCCTTAGCCTGAATCCTGCCCCAAGCCCAAGTATCCTCACATGGCTGTGGCTCTGTCACAGGTAAGACTCGTATTCTTCAGACCTCCCCAGCTCTTTTCCTCTCAGTCTTCATCATTCCCACCCCAGATGATCACTCCCTGTTCTTCCCACCCTACTTCTACCCAGGCCCGTAAGGGTTATTCGAAATCTCCAGAGAAAAGATCTGCTGAAAACAGAAATGTTCCTTTGGAGCCAGATATACTTGCCTTCTTGTCTGACTTAGTCCTATCTCCTGGCCTGCTGTATTCTGCGGCTGCCTGCCCTTTCCAGCTCGTCCCTTTAACGGTCTTTGTCACTCTCACTTCTGTCCTTCTCTGACCTGTATTCCTATGGTTGGTTCCTGCTCTCACTTGCAGAGGAGGCAGCGGGTTTCCTTCCTCCCCCTTCCCTACCACCCACAGAGGGAACACCTGGTTACAGCTGGTCACTTTGTGCTTCTGAAATTGCCTCAAGACGTTGAAATGCTCCACAGTTGAAGGTTTGTGGGCTGCAGCCAGTGCCAAGTGATAGATTGGAGAGCAGAGCTCTCCTCCTGAGCAGCAACAACCTCCCGTTGCTGCAGCAGCGTAAAGGTCACCAACCTTTGGAGAAACACTTTCCCTCAGAGTTCCTTCCTTCAGGAACATCCCAGCTGGAATCCCACTGTTCTTGGTCTAACTGGCCTCCTGACAAAGCCTGGAAATTCTAGTTAATCCTGTATCACCACATCCCTTCTTCTATAGAACGCATCTCCTGCCCATCCACTCATCAGTTCAGGCTGGAGTACACAGATGTGCACACATATGCACTTTTTCAGGCTTAGCATTGCATGGGAGGAGAAGGAAGAGGAGGCAGACCCTCATTTCAAGAAGGGAATGGAAGGAGTAGAGTCTCCTGCAATCTTTCTGTTCCTTGTCTCTTCGTTCTTAGCGTATTGCTTGCTTCTTTTTCTCTCTGCCTAGCTCTACAATTCTTCTGTTTTTGGAGGACAATGAGGAAGGGCTGAGAGAGTTGGGATTGTTGAGCCTGGGAAAACAAGGATCTGGGAAGACCTTACTGTGGCATTTCAATACATAATGGGGGCTTATAAGAAAGATGAGGACAGACTTTTTAGCAGGGCCTACCCTAACAATAGGACAAGGGGTTATGGCTTTAAACTAAAAGAGAGTAGATTCAGACTAGATAAAAGAAAGAAATTTTTTATTAAGAGGGTGGTGAGGCCCTGTCACAGGTTGCCCAGAGAAGCTGTGGCTGCCCCATCCCTGGCAGTGTTCAAGGCCAGGTTGGATGGGGCTTGGAGCAACCTGCCCTAGTGGAAGGTGTCCCTGCCCATGGCAGGGGGTTGGAACTGGATGAGCTTTAAGGTCCCTTCCAACCCAAACCATTCTATGATTCAACGACAAGATGGAAGAGGTCTGTCAGCAGCTTCCACTGGCTGCTTTGGTACAGAAGTAGGGGAAAGAGTGGGTATGAGATGCTGGTTTGCAGGGCTCCTCTCATGTACCAGTCTTGGCTGTCATAGTACTGGAAACATACATTAAAACAGTTCATTGCATCCCTTGGTGCACTTGCGCCACTTCATGGTGAGCACAGAGGTTCACACAGTACTTCTTTGTATTAGCAATCTGGGCAGGTGGGGAAGTGCAGCAGGACCTTATTGCCACCAGAGAGGAAGGATGGGGATGGCATGGGATCCCTAGAGGCTGCTTAACCTCCTTGCTCAGCCTTCACAGTTTCTTATAATGTTTCGCCATTGACACACATGGGCACTGGGAAGACATGAAAAATCATTGCCCTACATCACCCCATTACTTTGACTTCAGATTCTTTTCCCTGCCTATCACCCCCTCCAAAGTTTGGATGATAAAGGAGGAAAGAGGAAATCCACCCTTCCGCTTTCTCACCTGCTTCTAACCTTTGTCCAGCTCCCCTGTAAAAGCACTTTGGTGCCCCCAGCCATCTGGAGTGGGGTGGGAATGGGTGAGACACAGGGGAAGAAGAAAGATACTACAGCAGTCATCATCCCAACCATGCAGTCATGCATGCCCCGCCTTCAGCTAACGGCCTCGGCCGCAGGGTTGCTGCTGTGGTGGGAAGGGAGGAGGGACCGGAGGGTGACTGTCAAATACAGTTCCCTCTTCCACTTCCTCCCTCCCTCCAACCTGCCGCTCACTGCAGCACAAGGGCCGAGACTCGGATCTGCCCATCTCTCCCCGCTGTTTGCCTTGGCCTGACTTCCCTTTGCTCCAGGTGCCAACCTCTGCCACGGGTCCAGAGACATGCAAGCCATCAAGTGTGTGGTGGTGGGAGACGGGTAGGTACCCAAAGGTTTGCTGTGGATGCTGGGAGGGAGAGCAGGCGACAAGGGGCAAGAAATAGAGTGTCTGCTTGATGAAACTTCCCCAGCTTTGCTTCTGACCTCCTGCAGACTGTGTTCTCTCCTTCTCGCTCTTCCCTCCCCAGGGCAAGGGACCTTCCTCTGGGAATGAAGTAGAAGAGGTCATTTTGAAGGGCATCTGCCAAAGGGGCATGGAAAGTGGGTCAGGTCTGTCCCAGCACAGGAGGTGGTAGTGTTGCTGCCAGGTTCAACCTGTACGCAGGAGTCAGATTTAAAACCCGACAAGTGCAAGTGCTCTGCTGCAGGTGAATGGCTCCTTGAAAGCCATCTGCTCACTGGGACCGACTGGGAGAGGGCACGGCACTATGATCCTGAATCTCTGTGTTCAGCACATTGTATTGGAGTGTGTGGGAGAGTGTTTGGCAAGGGGTTCTTGTGCGCCTAAGGGGGACGAGCTCTTTACATTGAGTATATGCCACTTTGGGAGTGAGAGGTAGCACAGCTTTGCCTTTAGAGTGTGATGGTGTCACTGCCCATGTCCCGTGATGCCTAGAAACGGCCTGATCTAAACCATCAGTAAGGGAAGCAGTCAGTACTGCTTGGGGCAGAAGGGACAGGACTTCTTCTTGCCCTGTTGGATAACAGAGGAGGAGAGTCCACGTTGGGCATGGAGTAGGTTAATTCATTTCCCAGCGAGGAGCTGACCAGACTGCTATCTGGGGCAGCTATCAGGTAGCAGATGAAAACACATTTGCAGCAACCCTGCTCCCCACAGTCACTTCCTCCTTCAAAACTCGCCTGGGGAAGAAGACATCTGCAAACATAGCAGTACATGTTAGACATATTCTCAGGGGCTGGAGCAAGGGAATGGGGAGAAGGGACAAGGAAGGAGAGAGCCCCCAGTAAAAACCATTACCTCTAAGAACAGTCCTCTGAAGGCTTCAAGCTAGAGCTGGGTGTTTATCTGTTGCCCTGTTAACCCTGCAGTTTCCCCCTATACATTATACCAACTCTGTAGCCATGCCTCAAAGCAGCATTCCCCTCATATCATGGCTAACCCCACAACTCGTCCTGCTTTCACCTGCTCTGACCCAAACTCCTCTTAAATGTCTACTGTCCCGTCATTTTGCTTCTCTGTGCACTACGCCTCCCCTCTCACCATCTTGCAATGCAGCAGTCCAGTTATCCCCCCACAGCTCTGAGCAATTGGTCCATCACCCTTCACCTCCCTCCCAGCCATATCAGCCTTTCACCCTCCTTTGGCTCAACCTTAGCGACCACAGGACCTTCTGCCATCACTCACCTAAGCCCCTAGATGTTGCCCCATAGCTGTTCTGGCCCTATATCCACTGACCTATTAACACTGAGCTCAGCCCCAGTAACCTCACCTCTTCTCTCAATAGCTTGGTGGTAACCTTCACCTCTTCACTGACCCTTTGTGTTCCTCTCTGTTCAATTGCACTAGTTCAGAACCACCCTCACCCCCCCCCCCCCCCCATGCATGACTGACTCACCCACAGTCCTGTAGATCTCCTGAGCCGTTGCCTGTGGAGCTTCAGGAGTCTCCGTGGCCCTCCCTCAATATCTCTGCAATAAAAGGGAAGTAAAGGAGCTGGGAAAGAGAAGGGACTGGGAGAGGAGGATCTAAGAAAGGGAGGTGGCAGAAGGAAGAAGCAAGTGTAAGAGAACGCTGAAGAGCTTTGTTTCCTCCTCAGCTTCCCCACAGAGCAGTGGCCAAGGCAGAAGCCTTGTGAATAAGGGCAAAGACGCTGTACCTGCCAAAGGCACACAAAAAGGCAGTGCTGCAGCTCTTGCAACAGGGGACTTCGCAGGTACAGCTGACATGGTTGGAGCATCCCCAGCAGCGGGACTCCAGCCTCTCCTCTAGGAAAGACATCTCTTCCCTCCTGTGGCTGTGCTCGCAGGCTGAGCAGGCAGGTTGCTCTCACCACCTCCATTTTACATATGCTGCAACTGAAACCGAGCCAGACTTTTCCAGGCCACCCAGACCTGAGGAGAAGCAGCACAGCAAGAGAAGGGTTCTCCTTCCCACTCCTGTCCTGGGTGCTTTATCTTCCTCAGTTTCTCTGTACCCATTTTCCACACCACAGGCTTCAGCTTGACCACAACACCTTCTTGATAGCCTTACTGCCTCCTTTCCCACCTCCCTCACACCAGCATTCTCACCCAGTCTGGTCCATACTGCTACCCTGGCTCATTGGCTCCCCGCTGCAGCATGGATGTGGGGAGGCTGAGGAGAGAGGAAGCAGAAACACCACCAGCAGCCTCCACCAGCTGCAGGGAGAGGCACCTTAAGGGCTGCTTACAGCTCTCTGCAGCGATGCTGCAGCTCTCTGCAGACAGGCAAGACTGGAACGTGTTGTGGCTAAGTCAAGAGGAGGTGCTGTCAGTCCCTGGCCACAGTGCCTGCAGAAGCAAGCAGGGTGCCTGTGCTCAGAGGCATGTCATGGCACTCCAGCACTGCATCAATACACCTACCCTGGCTGCGAGCGCACTGCAGTGTGCATGCACTGGGAAATGGGCTCTCACCTCCATCTCAGAGTGGATGTGTTTTAGCTGAGTGATCTCTGTACCAAAGTGTACAAACAAGCCTTTGTGCTCAAAGACAACATTTCTGGGTAACATCCTGTCTTTCTGCCTGCTGGTTGTCTAACCTATGGCTGTGTGCTGTCTGGTCCTGTGAATGCATTTCTGCTTCCAGGGGCCTCCTGACAACACTAGCTTAGAAGTGTGAAAGGATTGCCCCATCCCCATCTCACCCTAACAAGTCTTCCTGCACTACACAACTTCTTGCTGGTTTTCCTTTCTCTTTCAGAGCTGTTGGCAAAACCTGTCTCCTCATCAGCTACACCACCAATGCCTTCCCAGGAGAATACATTCCCACTGTGTGAGTAAAGGAATAAACTGGTTCTGGGGTGGATGGGAGGCATGGAAAGCAGGATGCAAAGGGGTATAGAAACCCATTGTTGTTCATCCTGAAGGCAGGGTTACGATGTCCGTGCCAGGAGAGGAAGGGCTGCCGAACTGGCACAGGTGCCCCTACACTTCAGATCTGTCACCTTTTACCAGAAGCAAGTGGACTTATAAGCCCCTAGTATCAATGGGATATTTGGGAGAAATAAACCAACCCAAGGGTCTGTCTGCCCGCTAAGTTCATACATGGTTTACACACAGATGGGGTGCTGCTAGGCAAAACAACCAGGCACAAAATTGGCCTAGACACAGGAGAAGACAGTTGGATAGGTAGAAGTCCCCACTTCCTTCCTTATCATTGTAGCAGGCACTGATAATGCTGATGGTAAGAGTGCAGGATTCAGCTCAGTGCCAGAATAGAAGCACTATGCAATCCAGCAGATGTATGCATGAGGCTGGGACAGACATGCAGACTCTTAGCATAAGAAACAAGCTTAAGGTTGCTTTAGTTTGAGTGGTCAGATGCATTTGTACTTCCAAAGTGCATGGGATTATGTTTGGGGATGCACACCATACATACTCATATCACACCATAGGGTTGTGGAGTATGACTATACACTTCCTTAGGTGGGAAAAGGAGCTAGGCACAGTATGTCAGACTGCCAATTCAGGTTCAGATTCCTTGGGAAGGAAAGATGCAGGAAAACCTTAGTGCCACTATTTTCTCCAGACCAATTTGCAGTGGCATTACAAAACATAGCTGGGGCAGCAAGAACCCTTCTTTTCTCAGAAACTGGTTTGTGGAAGGACACCATCCCTTCAAGCACGTAGCCATGAAGTGGCTATGCATTTTGTGTGTCACACACCATTTCTCCTCCTGTCTGAGGCTTGTGCCTGGAGACACGAAAGGGAGGCCATTCTGGGGTCCTGGACTGCATAGCTTATCTCACAGTGGCGGTGTATGCTGTGAGCACATTCACAAGGTCTTTGTGTTGGAGCAAAAGGGAGGAACATCTCTATTGTTTTAATATACATATTTATTTATTTCTATGAAGTCTTTGCTCCCAAGCATGCAATCCTGATAGCTGTTCTCAAATATTTCACACTGAATTGTCAGAGTAAGGGGACACACCTAGGCATATTGGCCTCAGGTTCAGTAGGGGTGTTGAGGAGTGCAGTGCTCTGATGGAGCTACAGATACATGGATTCTTCTTCTTCACTTTTAAGAAGAAAGAAGGGGTTTGGAGTACAGAAGAAACACAGGGACTTGGTTAGAGCAGAGATAGCTGTGGGAAGGATACGGGAGAAAACTGAAGGTTTTATGGATCTGCATGAAAGATGGTAAAGGCAGAGCTGCAGCTGGGCACCTGCCCAGGACAGATGGGGAAGAAGTTGATGCTGAGGGAGAAGTCCATAAGGTTCATAGCATCACCTAGGTGAGCTGAGAAGAGGAATCACCACCCTTTGCCCCTGGGTACACCTAGCAAATCCTAGCTACATTACTGGAAAAGCTCCCTCTTCTGTTCGAGCTATGGCCTATGTCTCTGAATTCCAGGTTTGATAACTATTCCGCCAACGTGATGGTTGACAGCAAGCCTGTAAATCTGGGGCTATGGGATACTGCTGGACAAGAGGATTATGACAGGCTGAGGCCACTCTCTTACCCGCAGACGGTGCGTCACACTCTATGTCCCTCCTCCCTTGTTCCTCCACCAAATATGCCTTTGGCCCCAATGCAAAAATCAACATTTGCCTTGAAACGGTGACATGACTGTTCCTGTCTCTCTCTGCCCTTTTTTAAGAATGCCTCTGTTGATATACAAGTGCTTTGAAACCCTTAATGTAAAAGGCATCTAAGGGTATTTTGGAGATTTCATCTACTGGTGCAACATAACAAGAAAACCCTTGGGAATAAAAGAGCCAAACTCTCCTTTTGTGAAGTTAAAGTGGCTCAGGGAATTCAGTAACTGAGGCAGGAGCTTCTTTCATTTCTGTGAACCTTACTATTCTGGCTTCTGCCTTTTAAAAGAGATCTGATATGGAGACACATGTGTTTGATCTGCTGATGCCTCAACTAAGCCCAAGCATCTTGCAGAACAAACGGATGCCTCCACAGATACACAGATTCACCAGTTTTTCACCACATTAACAGAGTGATTTTGGGTTTAAAGATCACTTTCCCTGGAGGATGCTGTTCCAAGCAGTCTCTTGGCAAGCTCAGAAAGACGCTGCTGCCTCAGGCGTTGGTCTCAAGGTTGCCATTGCAACCAAAAGGGGTAGGAATTGAAGGCACTATTTGTTGCAGCTAGGTTCAGCCACTTAAGAGCCAGACACCTGGTACAAGCTGTTCGTGTAGGCTCCTTCTATAGTCAGTGCAAGCAGCTGTATTTCTCAATAAAGTGCTTGCATCCACCCTGGGACACATCCCAAAGATAGGTGCAGGAGCTGTTTTCCAAGTGTTTTGCCTCTAATGGTTGTAGAAGTATGGAAACGGATAGGCTGGGCCTGACACCCTTATTTTAGCTTTGTTGGGTGAAATAAATATAACCCACAAGAGCTGGTTTGGTTTGGTTTTTAATGCAAGTCAAAATTCTGCCTTGCCCAGGAGAAGCACTTATGTGGATAACTAAAATTCTACCTCATCGTGTCCTGCATGTGCACTTTTCAGGCTGACCATAGCACTGTCTCAACAGCAGGCAAAATTATTCTGTCTTGAAGGCTTTCTGGTGTTCTGTGAGAAATGAGTAGGACGCTGTCAGGCCATTTCCCATGAGGATGAGTGTGCCTACCACAAAAACCCCATCCTCATAGTTAAACATTTGGCTCTTCTGATAATGGTGGCTATGGTTATCATGAGTCAGGGGAGCAAACGTCCTTCTCCCCTCTAGAGGCAATTAGCAGCAGTCAGGACTGTCTTACACTGAGAGACCGCTTTCCCTAGCATGACTCTTTGCTGCAGAGGGAACATGCTGCCCACCCAGCTCTTCTCTCCCCTCTTTGACCCCTTGTCATGCAATAATCCCATGCTCTCAACCTAACTCTGTGCCATGATTGTATACTTACAGGATGTCTTCCTGATCTGCTTCTCTCTTGTCAGCCCAGCATCTTATGAAAACGTTCGTGCTAAGGTGAGGTGGAGTATTGTGGTCCATCACGGGCTGAGGAGGGTGCGATTGGTGGTGCTCTGTGGGTGACGACTGACAATGGGAGGTCTAGATTCAGAGAGGTACTATCATTTTTACATCAGTCAGAAGGAGCTAAAACATCAACCTTCTTCAACATGTCTTCTCTGAACCATCTCAAAGAAGGTGGAAAACCCTATTAACAGGCTAGTATTCATCTTTCTCAGCTATTGAGCTGTGTGTGAGACCACTAGCTTATATTCCAATGGCATCTTTCAGCCAGGACCAGCACAAACATGCAGGACTAGTCCATAGGGCGTGAGAAGGAGGTACCCACAGCCTTTGGATGGGAAGTGATGGAAGACTGAGGAGACTGAAGGATAGAACAACATAGTATTTCTTTCCTATCACTTTCAGGTTCCTCCCTGGGTTTCAGGAAGCCATGAAATGCTGAGAGCAGCTTGTGCTTTTGCTCAACAGAATTTGAGAGAGAAGGCCCAGCAACAAGGGCTGGCCTGGTCTAGGCTATAGTGCCCACCACTGGATGGAAGTGCTGTGAGGAAGGACAGGGCATAAGCTATGTTGCTGCCTCTCTGTTTCCTTTGTGCATGCCCATATTGTTGACTTCTTCTCACATCTTTGCCCTTTTGCTCCCATGGTAGTGGTTCCCAGAAGTACGGCATCACTGCCCTAACACTCCCATAATCCTTGTGGGCACAAAGCTGGATCTTCGTGATGATAAGGACACCATTGAGAAGCTGAAGGAGAAGAAGCTATCTCCAATTACATATCCTCAAGGCCTTGCTCTGGCCAAGGAGATCGGTATGTACTTAGGGCATAATTTGACCTTGAGGAAGAGCAGGAGGGCTTCCCCTCAACTCAGTAATACTTTTGTAGAGGTATCTCCCAGTTGTATCTCTGAGACACAAAGGGAGACACATCAAGGATCGTGGAACAAAATGCATGTCAGGAGATTCAGGAAGGAGATCTGCTTCTTGAGAAAGCCTCAACCCCTCAACCCTCTGTTTTCTGCCTCTCTCCTGCCACTATCGTAAACACACACACACACACAAATATATGCTTGCACATTCCCCTCCCCTTTTACTCTGCTATTTCTACCTCAGCCAATGTTTTTATGTGAAAGCCGCAGCTGCTGTGTGGGCAGAGGCCTCTCCTCCACATCCGGAAAGATGTGGAAGAGTGAGTTTTCTAACATCTCTCAGGAAGAGCTGCAACTGCAGCTTCCTGTCCCTGAATGACTACCAGGGCACATACATGCAGCCCCTGGTACGAGTGTCTTACCCCACTGCTCATCTCAGGGGCATCAGCTCCCACTTGTATTTGGGGCCATGCACAAATGTTTGTTACAAGTAACCTCTCTTCTCAAATACAGCACACAGAGGTAGGAGAGAGGGTGGGAAACAGCTTGAGGGGGGAGTTTTCAACTGAGGTATGCATGTTCGACCATGATAGCACAGCCAGCCTCACACGATGGCTCTGCTCTGGCTATGAGGGTAGACAACAGACAACCCCTAGTCTTGTATGGCTGGCTAGCTTTGCCCTGAAGTGAACTGTCTGAGTGAGAGAAGTGTGTCCTGACAATGCTGAACGGCTTTGATCGCCTGAGCTGTGTTTATTCAATTTGCTTTGCTTTCCAGGGTGAGGTGTTGGAGATTTTGAAGGTACAGGGTCCCAAAAAGGGAAGTACCGTGTGATCTGAGATGCCACAAGAGGTGCTTGAGGCCAGGCAGTCTGAATTACACTTGAAGCCTGAGGAGACTTGAGACCTTCTCTTGAGATGAGACTCTGTGGTGTTCAGGTGGCATGTGCCTGAGGACGCAGTGCAACGGGCACTGCAAGGAGGAGGGTGTTGTGGCTGTGAACTGATGTGAGCCAGAAGCGTGTTGGTGATGCACCTCTGTCTGCTCGGTGTGATCTGTGGCATTCCTCCTGCATGTTTCTCTTGGCAGCAGACCCATGGGTACCCCCACTGCCTATGCCAGTTTCCTTCCTCCCTATTACAGCACTTGCTTTCCTTCCAACAGACTCTGTGAAGTACCTTGAATGCTCAGCTTTGACACAGCGCGGCCTCAAGACAGTGTTTGATGAGGCCATCCGAGCAGTCCTCTGCCCACAGCCCACCCGGACAAAGAAACATGCATGCAGCCTCCTCTGAGAGAGTAAGTCTGGAAGGGATCCCTTGGAATGACACTAGTGGCACTTTCCTGCTCCCAAACCTGGGTGGTCAGGGCCACTGGGTTCCTATGACCTGCTGTGCCTGGTGGGATGGGCCATCCTTACAGAGGGAGAGGGAGACAGAAGTCCTGCTTGGGGAAAGGACAGGACATGGCATGACAGAGCCACATCCCTAAACCACTTCCCCCTCCTTCCTGCTTGCCCATGGGCATCTTTTCCCCCATCTCCTGGTGCAGGGTGGCCCAGGATTTTCTACCTCTGCCCTCACAGGGAAGAACTGCCTGTCATCCTCTGCCACAAAGGGAACTATATCCAGGGTGCCCCGGGGATGACCTGCTGTGAGAGGTGTGAAGCTGCAGGGTTTGCCTATAGGGAAAACAAAACAAAACAAAAACCTCTGCTGTTTCTCATTCATGGCAGTTACCCAATGGCCCTTCCTCTTACCAGGCCCTGCTCACCTCAAGGGATTTTTCGTGTTGCTGTTCATCATCAGGCAGCAGCTTTTCCCCCAGGATTCCTATACACTTCATATTGTGCCCACCTGCCCTTTCCCTTCAACTCAAGGCAGCAGAGAGAGGACAGAAGCTTCAGGACAAGAGGCAAAGCTGGCCAAAGCCTGAAGGAAGAGAAGAGTGAGAGCTTTCTAGTTGGGACCTTGCCTTACATTCTCTTACCACCACTGTGGCAGAAGGAGAGAGAGCAGGAAATAGACAAGCTGATGTTGCAAGGTCTGTCGTGTTTTTGGCTACAGATCCCATCCCCATCTTGATCCCAGGCTCTGCCCAGCACACAGCAAAGCAATGGTTCCAGCATCCCAGTACCATCAGTACCTTGTGGCGGTCACTGCGCTTTTTACTTCTGCTGGCTTGAAAGACTTTTGTGGGTCTGGCAGCACTGATCTGCCCATTTGCACAACTTCCCCACACTCAGCCCTTCCTCACCAGCCCCTTGAGCTTACAACATAGTGAGTAAGTCCCAATAAACAGACTGTACATTCTTGCTATGTCCGTGATGTGTTGTGCCTCAGGGGGATAACGGCCCTGATGCAGCGAGCAATGGGATGGCTCGGGTGGAGGTACCTGCTCTCTGTGACAACCCAGGCAGCACCAAGCTGAGCTTGGTACTGAGGAGCCCCAGCTACTATAGGATGAAGAGAGGAGGCCTGACTCATGCACCAAGTTGCTAAGTTCTCAGCTCAGCCCCCTGCACTCCTCAGTAAAGTGCAGATGTCACGTGCCAGCCAAAGGTGGTTACACCTTTGTAATCACCTGTAATCAGGCAGCAAGGTGATTGCACCTCGGCTTTTGCCCTTCCCCTTCTCATCCTCCATGTGTTCGAGAGAAAAGTTGTCTCCCCTCCGAGACACACAGAGGATGAGATGCAGGCATTGGGATAGGACACATCTGGTCGTAGACTCCTCTCTGTGGGGACTGCGGCTGTGGGTTACTGGGGACACCCCTTCACCAAAACATTTCTGCATTAATGCTCCTAAGCTCACGTCACAGACAGTCATACCAGTACCGGCGCTCACTCCCGCTGCCAGGCTCAGGCAGAGCGAGAACAGAAAGGGGGAGGGCAGGGGGGAAATAAAAAGAGCCAGGAATGAGTCACCAGTCCAGACAAATTGCCTCCAAGTCACTAAAATGAAGCTGAAGAGAGTAGTCCCAGCGGTACCATGGATCTGGCAACTATGAGCACCTGCCTTCCTGATGCATTGCAGGGACTTGAGAGTAAGTGGTGTTACACAGGGTGGCTGCTACTGCCACTGCTTGCCAGAGGGAGGAGGGCTCAGGGTGCAGTGATTGGCACTGCAAAATCCTGCAGTCCTAGGAGGGCACAGAGAAGCTGTGGATCCAGCTCACCACTCCCCGGTGCAGCACCAATTCTGGGTTTCAAAACCTGCTCTCTGCACTGAGGAGCTGCATGAGTAGTGCCAGCAACAGCCCCCCACTGCGAACCCCTGAGGTACCCTGCTGTCAAGAAGATTCCTGTACATTAGATTCCTGGGCAGATCGAAGGCAGTCAATTCAGTGATGAGGCACATTATTCACTGGTAATGTCCAGAGCAACCCGGGAGAGCATACTGTGGCAGCGAGTTCCACAAATGTCTGCATTGCACATGGACTGCAGGATGAATTGCCCGAGCCTCATCCAAAGGTAATGTAAATTGTGACAACGTAAGGCCAGAAGGGCAGAAATAAAGTTTCCTGTGTGGGCATACACCTGTGGAAGAGCAAGGGACACAAAGCCCTTGAGACTGGGATCCATCCTCCCTTAAACTTCCTAAACATTACTCAAACCAATGCATTCATAGTGGGCTATCACTTCCTCTCCAGTTTTCAAGCCTTGGCTTTTGCCTTCTCAGTCTGTCCTGTGTCATGTACAGCAATGCAGAGAGGAGAGGCTCACCATCTGCATGAAACAACATTCATGTATCTGCCCACCAGTGCTGGTGCACAGGCTGAGCTCTCCTTCCAACACAATTCAAGCAGTTTGCACAACTCTGTTAGAGCTGAGGCCGAGAATAGAGCTGGAGACCTGGAAGTTGTGATTCTGTGACTCCGCTTGTGCTAACAAGTCCTGCAACTTGTAGCTGGCCTGAGAAGAGCTCTGCTGTTGCACAGCTCTATTTCTTCCAAGATACGAGCTCAGCGGCTCCCTACATGGTGCTGCAGATACCTGCCCTGTCATGACAGAGATAACCACTGGGTGCTACCTGTGCCATTCTGTATGCATCCAGACAGCATTGTGGCCAAGATCTAGGCTAAGGCATCCTGACAGCTTTCAAGCCCTGCACCTCCTTCAGCTGGTCACCTGCCAGTGGCACTGGCTGGACATAAAATTGCACAGACCCTGGATATATTCCTCTCTCAGAGATACTTCCTGCTTCTTGTAATGCTGGAATTGGCCTTAGGAGCTCAAATGCTCATAACAGCAGTGCCAAATGTCAAAAGCTGTGTGCCTGCACAGTACAAAGAGTCACTGATCCTGGCTGCAGGGCAGGGAATGGTGTGAACACTACAGAGAAGCACTTTGTGCAGGGAATGGGATGGGAAGATCCTTAATTACCTTCCTGGCAGAACTGCTCACACAAATGAGCTTATTTTTTTGCCCTGCCCCGTTTCTTCTGGGTGCCCTCATATGAAACCTGGCAGGAGAGTCCGGGGATGTGGAACTGGAGCTTTTTTCCAAAGAAGGTACAAAAGATATGAGATTGTGCATAGAGCCAGAGGAGGCGGGGCTGGGGGGGAGTTGAGACAGTCATCCCCTGTTTGCCCATCTGCCCTCCACTCCATCCACCTGGAGGTGCTCGTAGGGCAGAACAGGAGGGAGAAGGGTTTGTGTGCTCATCATCCACGCTGGGTTCTGAGCATGTTCCCAGCCAGAAGGCTTTGCCGTGTTCCTGCGGCTTTGAGCAGCACCGGTCTTGCCTTCAAGATCCCCGGAAAAGGGAACCCCTCTCCCTCGGCATTCACGGGATTCATAAGGCGCTTTGCACTGCCAGGGGAGCCGAGCTGAGCTCCCCACAGACACACTACTCTCCCACCACACAACTGCTGTCTGCATCCCTCTCTGCACTATCCCCATCTTCTTTCACCGCACTCTTCATCCTTGCGCTCCCGCCCTCCCCTTGCCCCTCTCCTGCATCTCCTTCTCTCCCTTTTATTCCCCACCTCGCTCTCTCCCCCCGCATCCCCTCCTTCCCTTTCTCTCCCGGTGTTCCCGTGCGTGGCGCCCATTGGCTGCCACCGGCCGACCCCCCCGGCAGCCGCCGCTCTGCTCCTCTCTGTCTCGCCCGGCGGACGAGCCCCGTCTCCCGCGGATGGCGGCGGGAGCGGCGGGCAGAGCCCCGCCGCCTTGAGGCTGAGGGCCCGCGCACCCCCGGCCGGAGGGCAGCACGGCCGGCTGGACACCAGCGGGCATGGGAGCTGGTCCCGGCCCAACACCGGCCACGGAGGGGGAGATGGGCAGGTCCGGGAGGCAGGACTTGAGCCTCCGGTAGCGCACGGTGGGACCCTCTTCGTTCCTCGGACCGCTTTTCTCAGTTGCCTTTAAGAAAAGGGAAGGGGAAAAAACATGACACGGATTCTGTCGGGGAAGCAGAGGAAAATGTGCATCCCAGCGACACGTAAGTACCAGGCGGCTCTTTCCAATGTCTCCCGCGGGTGTGAGTCCATGCAGAAGTTAACTCTGCAGTCCCAGAGGAGGAAACATGCCCATCCAGCCCCTCCGACCCCCCCAGCCCCGCCTGGTCCCCAACAGAGAACTCAGCCCCGAGGTGAGGCAGGGGAAGTTCTGAGCTGCAGCAGGGCAGTGGGAAACAAGGGGGACAGTCAGGGATGGGGGCAAGAGGGACTGGAGGCTGTTGGCCTCTGCGGTCCCTCCCAGATCCTGTTGCTGTTTTGTAACCAGGTCCAGGCTCAGCTTTTAGCATCCACCTCCTCCTCACTTCCAGTGCAGACATTTATTAATTTTTTTTTTTCCTACAGAAAGTGGTGGCACTGATTTGCATCTCTGCCTTCCTCTCTGCCTTCCTCCTGCTCTGCAGATGTATGCACCAGCTATATTCTGGCAGCACGTGTTAGGGGATCCCAAGTCACTTGCAACAGGTACTTTCCACTTGAGGGACAGCCCCAGGAAGATGCCAATACACTACCAGTCAGCCTGAGGGCAAGGTTCCTCATCAATGCCTACCTATGTGGGTGTTGCCAAAGCAGTCAGTAGAGTGGATCCAACCCAGATGAGGCACTGGTGTCCAACAGGACATCAAACTAGCCAGAATGGGTGTGTAATACAGCATCTGAGTTGGTAGATGGTACTTGCCGAAGTCAGAATGGCACAGGCAGACCACGCTTGCTTAAAGTTTCACCACTGCCGCTGTCTGAGCAGGAGAACAAGTTTCTAGTAAATCAGTGCTTTGTGTTGCATGCCTTAGCATTTCTAACAGGGCTTTTGAGCCCTGAAGTTCCAAACTCAAGCTTTACTGGGTTGCTAAACCCCAGCCTGAACAACCAGCTTTGAGGTCTGGACCCCAGGCACTTCCCCGTATGCTCTTCAGCCCCAGCATGAGTGTCCCCATCTGTATTTGATATTTGTAGGGCTCTGTCTCCAAATGCTTTTTTATTTTTAAGTTCTTCTGCATTCTGGAGGAACATCCAAAGGGATTCCTAACTTGGTCCTCAACTTCTAGAGAACATACCATTCTGGTCTCTGCCACCCTTTGCAGGGTTCTTTGTCTCCAGAAAAGCCTCTGCCTCCTGTTTCCTCCAACAAGGGATTTGCATCACTATAACAGCACTAAAAAAAACAAACAAACAAAAAAAAAATCAGAAGAAAGATCCTTGAGCTTAGAAATAGTTTCAAATCCCTTTGCCCATTTGTTGCAGTCACTCATGACATGTTGTACTGCAGGACCCCAAGAGATGGGCTTCTATCAAGGTAGTGTGTCACAGCCCAAGGCACCTGCAAATGAAGAAAGTCTAAACAATTCCAGTTCTTTAAAGCTCATTTAAGTATAACAGGGAACATTTATGCCGTAGCCTGTAGAGCATATAGCCTTAAGACATATTTGCCCAACTGTGGCTTTAAGGGCCTATCAGAGGATGTTCTTTCAACATAAGATCTGATACACCTGTGGAGTCTGTTGGGTTTACCTATCTGATATCCATCTGAAGTTCAGGTCTCCCCTAAGGTATACAGAAGTTGGAAGGACACTTACAAAAACAAATGAAACCTGTAGTATTAGGACATTTGTGAAGAAAGATATGGTGGTACAGAAAATCCTATCTGGGGGAAAAGTCTCTGGAGTGTTTCTGGCCTCCTGAAAGTAGTTAATATTGGGAGTCCTTTGAGATTTCCGTTTTTCATTTACATAACAGAGGAGCTTCAGAGCCCTTTTTGTTGGGATGGGTAAAGGTGAGCTTCAGGGTCCCTGTTCTCTTCCACCAAGTCATCCTCTCTTCCAAGGAGCTAATTCATCAAGAAGATGATGCATAAGG